CCCCCCCCCCTTTGCAGGTTTTATTTAACTTGCTATGTACTGTGGCGCCTCCAGTAATAAACAACTTAAAAAGCTGACTAAGTTTAGGTTTTGCCCCCCCCCCCCAACCCCTAAAAAAAAAAAAAGTGAAATGACGCCCCGGGTCTTCACTTCAACAATGGGAGAGTTTACATTTTTTTCACTGGGTGCTTGAGGTTGGTTTCGTAAGTGTGCCACTTGCGCTTGTCCAGCCTTAGTGGGGAAATTTCTCAGCTAAATATCTAGTACAGTGGCTCTCAACCTTTCTTATGCCGGGACCCTTTAATACAGTTCCTTATGTTGTGGGGACCCCACCCCCAGCCACACAATTATTTTCGTTGCTACTTCATAACTGTAGAGCATATGTGTTTTCCTGTGGTCTTAGACGACCCCTGGGAAAGGGCCGTGCGACCCCCAAAGGGGTCGCGACCCACTTGTTGAGAAACGCTGGTCTAGTAGGATGTGTTTTAGTAGTAAAATTCGGGTGGGAGTGGGGTTGGCGATAGATTACGACAAAGCTACAGGCGCTAAGTAAGAGGCAAAGGGTCATGTGTATGACGTAGACACATAGTATATGGCATAACATATGGGTAGACTTTGAACTTTGGTAAAAGAAAAAGGTACAAACATAACATGTGGGTAGACTTTGAACTTCGGTAAATCAAACAGGTGCAACCATAATATATAGGTCGACTATTGGCTATTGTAAAATAAAGAGGTTAAATGAAAAGTTGCTTTTTAAAAAAATTGGACTGGTGGTGAGTAAAATTTGATATAGTCTTTGCCTTTATGAACACCTTTAAGAACACCTTTAGGAATGCCCTTAGGAACACCTTTAGGAACAACTTTAGGGACAACTTTTAGGAACACCTTTAGGAACGCACTTAGGAACACCTTTAGGAACACCTTTAGGAACACCTTTAGGAACACCTTTAGGAAAACCTTTAGGAACACATTTAGGAACGTCTTGAGGAACATCTTTAGGAACGCCTTTAGGAACACCTTTATGAACACCTTTAGGAACGCCTTTATGAAAACCTATAGGAACGCCTTTATGAACACCTTTAGGAACGCCCTTAGGAACGCCTTTAGGAACACCTTTAGGAACACCTTTATGAACACCTTTAGGAAAATTTTTAGTAACGCCCTTAGGAACATCTTTAGGAACGCCTTTAGGAACACCTTTAGGAACACCTTTAGGAACACATTTAGGAGCACCTTTAGGAACACATTTAGGAACACCTTTAGGAACACCTTTAGGAACACCTTTAGGAACACCTTTAGGAACACCTTTAGGAACACATTTAGTAGCACCTTTAGGAACACCTTTCGGTGGCCGCATTTTTTTAGATTTATTAAGATGTTAAACATTTTTTTTTTAAATTATTGTAATGAGGATACAATGATTTAATATGATGGGTCTAAGGGGTGAAAGGGGGGAGCCACCAGCATCCCTTTAGTCTTGTACCAACCTGTCTCCCGACGTTGCAATGAGAGGATACCCAACCCAGGAGCAGTGTTCGTGTCCTCCACTATGCATGTCCCCAGACACAAATGAAGAAGGCATTGACTGAGATGCCAGTTCCACATCTAAAAGTATAATCGTACTTGCCATCGTGCTAAGAATCCGGATTTTTGTGCTTTCATCCCTTAGGATGCTAAATAAAAGGTATAATTTTTTTTTTTTTTAGAGGCAGGAACAACTAGCAATGGCAACAAATACAATTTTCTGGGGCTTTCGCACCTTAGGGGTGCAATCAAATCGGGTTAAGAAACGCTTTTCTGGGAACATTTTTCTGACACAAGCGCATTATTTCAATATCCATGGGAGTTGAATTTTTTTGAGGGTTTGTAAAGGGAATTAGTGGATATAGTTGTTCGTTTTTTTTTTAGTGGGGGTATGTGCAGAGGTTTGTGAAGTTATATTTCAAAGGAGGGGGGGGGTGTTAACTTTTTTTTGGGACGATGGAAGGGGAGGGGGGAAATCTGCAAAATATGTGTGGCTACAGTGACTCATTTATGGGTGCCCTTAGGGCCAATATGTTTCCCTGGTCCTGAAATCTGCGGGATGATTTCAACTTTTACTACCACTGAATCACTAAATCTAGATCTAGCCTGGTCATACATAAGCAAATCTTTTAAGGCTGGTAAGGCTTTTGAGGCTAATTCACGTGGTCCGTGATGATAAACCAAACACACTGAAAGCGGGAGCAAACTGTTCACATTATATATCTCCTTTCATAATTGCATAGGGCTTCAAAATTTTAAAATTCAATGTTTGATGATTTTGACCCCCCCCCCCCCCCCCCCCCATGCTCTTCGCACCCAGGGCCGCCGTTTTGCAAACGGTCTGCAAAAAACAAGACACAAATTGTATCATCTGGGGATATTTATTGACAAAACGTGGGGATTTTTAAAAGCCTGAGTGGCAGCACTGAATGAGGTTGTGCCAGATGCGCTCTCGCTCTTTTAATACTAAAACAATTGCTCTGAGAAAAAAAACAAACAATTCATACATATATTTATCAAATCGTCTTTGTGGATAGCATACGCTTTGAAAAAGATGGTGTTGAACCTTTTCAACTGCACATGGCATTTACAAAAAATAACGTGGCATTCCTTAAAAAGAAGTTTTTCTGTAGTGTCGACTACTCAAAATACAATTACCAGACTAGTACTAATGCGACGACAGTGTCGACAGTCAAAACAGTCACAGTTTTGTCAATCGTAAGAAAATACATCGATAGTTCATTGATTAAATCTCCAGGATATGGGTATAAATATAATTACTATCTTTAAATTTTTGTGTGTGCAGTGTAAGGGTTAAGTTTACGCCTTAAAATATTAACATCATTTCTAATCTTGTTTCAGTGTGCCTCTTAAAGCCTCTTTAACTACTTAGACTTTAGACATCATAGTATAGTCTTCTTATTGAAATTTATTGTCTTATATTTTATGACCCTAGGCCTAGAAACTAATAAATAAATAAAGTTAATATTATATACTGATTAAACATGTGACAATGTAAGTTTTATAGGCAAAATGAGATCAATGCACACTATTTAAACATTAATTAATATGGAAAAAAACACCTCATATAATTAATTATTAATTATATTAATTATATAATAATAATAATTGTAAATGAAAATGAAATTGTATTGAAATTTCTAAGTTTTACAGTTTACACATTTATTATAAATTCAATTCAATTTCAATAATAATTTTTGTACATATTAAATTTATGTTTTGATAAATATATTATTGTCTATTGTAATTGAAGATACACTTATTTTTTAAAAAGTAATGCTATTATTTTATATTTTACTTTTATTTTTCATGTAAACTTTTAAAAGTTATTTAGCTAATGTAGATTTATTTTATAAAGTTAATATAGGTTTATTCAATTGTGTATCAACTCAATCAACTTAAAGTATTGAAATTAGTGTATGGGATAGGACATACTGCAAATTTGAAACAAAAAATGAATATATATTCCAGACATGTTCGGCTGCATACTTCTCCACAAAAGCAAACATCTAATCCTTTAAAATGGAGTTATGTTCATGGCGCCTCATCTGTTCCTCTATTGGGTATCACAGTTGGAAAGCAACTTCAGAAGACTGCAGAAACCCATCCTAACAGGTCTGCAATGATATTTGCCAATGAGAAACAGCAACTTACATTTACAGAATTGTTAGCAAAGGTAAGTAAGTTATACAAATTTCTTTAAAAAATGTTTCTTTTAAAATTAGCCTAATTTGTTTTTTTGGATGGCCCCTAGTTTTAAAGTGATAAGTGTAAAGCCCCTGGCTTTGTCTCTTTGTCTGTAATGAGAAGGATCTGCAAAGAGAAAACAATTCTACAATTGCATGTAAAATGTTTGTTCTCATTCCTTATATCTTTTTTTATTGGGTTTACCTTTGCTACTAATAAGAAATTTTATTAAAATATTCATTCATATAGGTTTAACATTTTGTAATAAGTATTTTTTTTTTATTTATGTAGAGAATAATCTTGAATACTTTGTATTCCATACACAATGTTTTTAATTTTTTTTAAATTATTTAAATATGTATGTATTTTTTAAATAAGGCTGACATGTTTGCAGCTGGGTTAAGAACCTTAGGCTTTAAACATGGAGACAGAGTTGGTATTTGGGGACCTAACTCATTAGAGTGGGTGCTGACTCAGTATGGAACAGCAAGAGGAGGAATAGTCTTGGTGAGCCCTAAATTTTTAGACTTATTTCAGTTTCATAACTTGTATTATGTTATTTTGATTTTATTTCCAATTAAAAACTACAAATATAACAGACATTATTTTTCTACGGCTTTTCTTAAAGATTTGTAAACAAAGTCTATGCATTTGTAATATACTTTCCTGTATCATTGTTTAAAAGAAGGTTAAGATATATCTTCTTATCTGTAAAATTTTATATTAATTATTTCAGGTGAACATAAATCCATCTTACAGAAAAAATGAATTGAAATATGCTCTGAATAAGGTAATGATTTTGTTGCTTACCGGTATTGGAATTTTCATAAGGGATCAGTGGCAAATCTAGGGGATGGCAAAGGAGGAGACATTTCTTTACAAGCAAAGTTGCTGACATTCACGCTGAGCTTGATGGTCTTGACATAGGGCCCTTAGATTTGCCTAATTTTTCTTGTGTTAGTTCTCATGTCAATGTTTTAAACCGGTTTTAGAGCAAGAGGTCAAAAGTATTATTCTGAAATCTAAACCTACATCATGTTCTTTGGACCCCATCCCCACCCCTTGTTGGTTGAGACGTTAGAACATTCCTAACGATAACCCACATAGTCAATGAGAGCTTGTCTTCTGGCACTTTTCCCCCTCTTTGTAAGTCAGCTGTCATCAAACCATTGCTAAGAAGCCTGGTTTGGATGAAAATAATTTTTAGAAATTATAGACCAGTATCTAACTTATCATTTTTATCTTAAGTCATTGAAAAACTAGTTCTAAAACAATTTTGCCTACTTAAATGACCACTCCCTTCTCAAACCTAATCAGTTAGACCTTTCCACAGAGTCAGCTCTCTTGAGAGTCACAAATGAACTCTTGCTTGCAATGGACAGCGGTATTTTCTCCATCTTGATCCTTTTAGATCTCAGTACGGCCTTTGACACTGTTGACCATAAAAATCTCTACAAAACCCTTGAAAATGACTTTGGAATTTCTGGTTCAGTTTTGGCATGGTTTAGTTCCTACCTCTCTGATAGAACGCAGGCGGCCGCTGTCGATTGATAAGGTTCCCTAGCCTTTGTGGATTCCTCTACTTCCTTCAAGGCAGTAGGTTCTGATTTTGTTCCACCCCAGGTATTTTATTTCCCTGGTACCCTCCATATCTGGTGGGCTTTCCCGTATCCACCACCTGGGGAGGTGCTCGATGGGAGATCAGTATCTCTGCACGAGTCTCTTCTTTCAGGTTTACGAAAACACTTCATAGAAAAATTACAAAAGGTTTAAAACTCAGCTGCTAGGCTAGTTCTGAAGGCAAATAAACATGATCATGTCACATCACTACTTCATTGGCTCCCTGTACAAGCCCGGATTGACTATAAACTCTCTGTTCTTTGCCACAACTTTTTCTCAAATTCCTGCCCTTCCTATGTCACCGCACTTCTCTCTGTCTATTCGCCCCCTTCGACAGCTTCTCTCCTCCACAGACACGAGTATTCTTTCTGTTCCCAAGTCACGCACAAAAACATACGGTGAAAGATCTTTCTCTTTCTGTGCCCCCAAACAATGGAATTCTCTTCCACTACACATCCGCAATATACCTACCATCTAGGCCTTCAAAACTGCACTCAAAACACATCTCTTTAAACTCTACTAATCTGACTGATTTCCCCCTCTAACCGATAAACAATGCTGCTGGGTACCGTCCATGGCTTGACATGTAAATAGTTCTGGAATGGGTGGAGTGAATATACATTTGTTTTGCTTTTATACACTCGTTTTTTATTTCATTAATGAATGTTAATTTTTAAATTCATGATTATGTTTTGTTTTTATACCCTCGTTTTTTATTTCATTAATGTATGTTAAATTTTAAGTTCATGATTATGTTTGTTAAATTGTATGTACAGCGAGGTGAGCCCAGCCCTTGGCTGGGGTACAGCGCTATATAAAACCACTAATAATAAAAATAATAAAACATTAGGGTGTTATTTATTACGTTATCTAAATGATGGGTGTCTTGTATTAGAGGGTAGCTTCTTTAGCAGTTATACCCGCTCCGCACATAGTCAAGGTTTCGGTACTCTGTGTGATTAGGAATGTTTAACTTTTTTTTATTTGGTCAAAAAGTGTTTTTTATTAGACATACTAATTTAAAATTATTTCAAATTTGTTAAGTTTCTTTATTTTTAGAACAGTTTTCATATTATATAATGGTTTCCAACATGGAGAGCTTCTGACACATACTTTATAGAATTCATTTCTATTTCTTTGTTGTTTCTGCTGTTGAAGGCGTCTAGACAAAACGTTAATTTGATTGTCCATTTTTAAAAATGGCATATGAGTGAATAATCAACATTTTTTTTTTTAGTTACGCCTCACACAATGAACATTTATTACGGAAGAAGATTGCCAAGTGCTGTTCTTCAGGATTTAATCCTTATTATACCCCCCTCCCCTTTTCATCACTTAGCTCATATAGTGCTTACATTTTTGTACTACATTACTAAATTACACTGGTGTCGAAATTTGATAACCCACAATTGCAATCTTTTTTTTTCTAATTTTCATCCGCAGGTTGGCTGTAAGGGTCTTGTGGCTGCTCCTAGTTACAAGAACATTGACTACATTTCTATGTTGAGAGACCTGATGCCAGAAATGGATATTACCTTAGAAGGCTCACCTCTTAATGCCAAGGAGTAAGTTGACTGTTAAATAGGTACATAAACAATACATTAAATAATTAATTCTGAATTATGCAAATTAAATTTAAAATTACAGTTTTGGAAACCTTACAATAAAGTTCTACCATATTTTGTTTAACTAAATTTTCAATGACTGAAGGACACATTTCTAAATTATAATTGTAATTTTTTTTTATCCAATAGTAAACTGTATGATAATAGTTATTTTTAAAAAACTTAAACTTAATGATGAAATATAAAATAATATTTTTTTGAATGTTGCATTTCCTGGATTTTACTTCCACAAATAATCAAGGATATTTTTATTAACTTCCGGGTGAGATCACTTAAAAACAGTATTTTTGGTTTTTGCAAACAAAGTTCTCATAGGCCATTACACTAAAAAATTGTTTTTAAGTGAATGTCATAGTTAACATTTGGTAGTAGCCTAGTGTTTTTTTTTTGTTGTTTTTGTTTTTTAAATACTCTGATGTAAATAGTTGCAAGAGTATTCAAGCATTCTTTGTTTCCTTTTTCTGTTCAGTTAAATTTTACAAACATAATGGTTATTCAGATTGTGTGTTTATTTCTGCACATTTCCAAATGCTGAGATATTAATAATGTCTTTATGATGCTTATAATTTATTGATTTATTATTTTTTTCTTCAGGATCCCTAATTTAAAATATGTTTTTTCAATGGGGGCCACTAAATACCCTGGTACTATTCGCGTGGATGACTTGCTGAGAATGGCTAGCCTCCCAGAGATACGGGAGATAAATGATATTCAAGACACATTTCAGTTTGATGATGCTATCAACATTCAGTTTACATCAGTAAGTTACATTTCAGGCATGGTGCATTCTAAGCTCTGTTAATTGATTCAGGTTGTCTAATAATCATGTGTTTCAATCACAGCATTTATGTGAACCAAAACATTCCAGCCAATTTTCAGCTAAAACGGGGGTGGGTGGCCAACCTTTGGCACAGCACATTAAATATTGTGGACCACTTGATTTATCACTTGTTGTATTTCCATCCTCATTCAAATAGGACTTATTTTTCATTTTTGGTATAATCACACATTTGAAATTATTAATTATTTATATATAATATACAGCTTATATGAGATTAGGTATTGAAAAAAAATGATTAGAAAAACATTTAGTCAGGTATTGATGAATCATTTAACACACCAACTGGAAGACTCTCAACTCAAATACGACATTGAACAATTTATCATTATACTGGTGACCTTTGATGTTAAAAAATACATATTTAAATCCATAATTTCAAGATCTTCTTTTAAAATTGTGTCATAAAAGGGCACGACAGGATCACCAAAAGGGGCTGTTCTCACGCATCACAACCTTGTCAACAACAGTTATTTTGTGGGACTCAGGTGTGGATACCATGAACATGTAAGTCATCTTAAGTTAAACAATCATTTTTTATTGTTTTTATTGGGCACCATTTGCTTACAATGCACTTAAACTTTGGTATTTTCAATAAAAATGAAGATATCAAAGTCATCCTTAAAAAGCAGATTAAAAACTGTCCATAAAATTATACAAAATTTGTTGTAGTTTAATGCTGTTGACAATATTGCTTATTAAGATTGTTCAATTTCCAGGATTCCATCATATGTGCGTCAGTTCCTTAACATCAGTGCTCTGCATCATTTTCCTTCTCGTAGCACATCCAGACCCTTCCCAGATTTCTATGGTTTCCAAAATTAAAATTTGAACAAAACCCAACTGATTTACTGTTGTTCAGATATACCAAAATTGTAAATGTTTTTTTTAAATTCCTTATATATTTGAAATTAACATGAACTAGTAGAATTTTACACCAAGTGATATAAAACAGTTTTTCAGTTTTTAAGGTGGAATATCAATAGAACAGAAGTATAGATAAGATATTTTTTTTTTAAAACTGCATATAAAAATGAAAAGATTTAAATTAAACAATAACTAATGGGACATTTAAGCAGTGACTTGCAAATGAAGCTAGAGTATTTATTTGAATAGAATCCCAAAAATTAAACAAGCCACGCAATAATAATAGAACAAAGCAATTTTTTTCAATTATCATACAATAAACATTCGATTCACTATATAAAGAAATCAGATGAAAGATCTTTGGTAACCTCAGTTTGGACAGAATGGGGCTTAGTTTGTATTGGTTTATTTTTTCATTTATGGGCTATAAAAAGTTTACTCGGTAGTGTAAAAAACAACAACTAACAATCATCACCAAGTTGAAGTATTACACAATACAGGTGTGAAAAGGGTAAAATATATCTTTATATCTGCTTTATATCATTGACATTATTACTTAAAGTGCAAGTTTGCTCATTGGCCAGGATTCCATCATTTGTGTGCCAGTTCCATTATATCATTGCTTTGGTATGGTCATGGGATGTATGCAAAGTATCACTCATGGTGCTACAATGGTGTGGCCTTCACCTGTCTTTGATCCAGAAAGTGTTCTTAGGGCACTAGAGACTTACAGGTGATTTTGAGTTCATTATTTATAGTTTATTCTTTGTATCAAGCATCAAAAGAATATTTTAAACCTGGATATTGTTTTTTTAATTTTATTTCCATTGCCTATTTGTAATTCGGTATAGAAATACTTTTTTAAAAGTATTGAACTGACTGAACTGGTTCCAGTTCATTTATAATACATTAATGAATCAATGCCTCTTGAACAGCATCCCCAAATGGTAGTCTGCCGAACGGCACCGCTTTGCTAGCCTTTTTGTGCAGGTTGGCGCAACATGAATATTTATATTAACAAATATATATATTTATAATCGAAAAATCTGGCACTTGGTGCAATTTCCTAACTTATCCACCAGTCTGCAAAACTTACAAGCTGCTCTAGACAATATGAATACATTAAATAGTTGTTAGTCTACTTACAGTCTACTTAATTCCATTGAAGTTAGTCATAACTAAGATGACTATGTAAAAAAAAAAATGTTTCTACATAAGACTTCACTAATTTAATTTTAACAGATGTTTTGAGTTTTTAATTATTGCTGAAACCTGCTGGGGTATCTCTTTCATTATATGAACAAGGTTTTGTAAGACAAAAACATGATATGTGGATCTGTTGCAAAATTTGTTTTTAAAATCAGAATTCTTAATTACCTTGAGATTCAAAATTTACTTTTAAGTTTAAATATTTACAAAATTATGACAGAGATTGTAATGCAAAGGTCTTATAATAATTCATGCAATGCTGTACCGGTATTAACATGGATCAATCATGCATTCTTAATGTTAATGGAACAGGAGATGTTTTATATCATCCAGTAGAGTTGTTATCAAAATATCAGTTCTTAAGTTTTCTCATAATTTTTATTGGTTAATAGTTAGATTTGACATGTTCTTGGAAATTATGTGTTTAGAACAAACTGTTTCTGTAAGTTACTCATGATTTGGAATTTTGTTCAAACAGATGCACAGCCCTGTATGGTGTTCCGACCATGTTTATCGACATCCTGAATCATCCATTGTGTGACAAGATAGACACTTCCACACTGATTACTGGGATAATGGCTGGCTCACCTTGTCCGATAGAGACTGTTAGAGATGTTCTGCAGCGAATGAACATGCACAAATTTACTGTAAGTCACTCGCTCTATTATTGTGACTGGGTGCTTGTCTATGAGTTTTACTGTGACAGTTTTTGCTTCATTACATTTTGTTTCATTACATTTGTTTAATTACCTACATCAATATTACAAGTTTTTATGATTAAAAGAATTCTACAATTCATCATAATGTGCCAGGTCACTGTGAAAAGAGGAAAAAATGTTTAAAAATCAATATTAAATCGCTTGTGTCGGATACTAAAAATTCTCAGTACCGCTTAATGAATACCTAAAGGTAGGACACAACTTTGTAATGCATGTCATATGAATGTTTGACCACAAATCATGTTGATGTTGGCTTTCTTCATGTCAGGTCTGTTATGGTTCCACTGAAACAAGTCCAGTTTCCTTCCAGTCCACTGGTTTATGTTCAGTGGATAAAAGAGTGTCCACTGTGGGCAAAGTCTTGGACCACATCGAGGTAAGAAATATTCTTCACCCATTTAACCCAGACCCTTAGAAATTTTCAGCCAAAGGGGAAGAACTCACTTTTTGTGTAAACATGTTAAGAAAGTTATATTTAAAACTATGTAACAATTAAATTAAATCCTAAAAAAAACTTGCTGTTGAGAGATTTCTGGGTAAAGCTCATTTCCTGTCATTCCATTGTGAATATTTGTATCAAGTTAGTATCATTTCAAAGCAACAAGCTACAATTTTTATGGAAGCTGGTAGGTTCTGTGGCAAAGCTTCTTAACACATTGAGAAAGTGGACTGGCAATATTTCATGACCAGAGACTTCTGTCACATGTGTGTTTTTTCTGGCACATATGTGTTTGTTCTGGTACATGCGTGTTGTTCTGGCACATTGCTCTCAGGTTCATTTCTGAAGAGCTGTTCCTTAGCTTTGCTGTTCAATCAAACATTCGATTGCTATTTCATTTGTTCAGAAGAGATTGGACTTACAGAGCACAACATGCGTTTTTCTCTCTTCCTTCCTACTGGTATGGCTTGTGAAAGTTAATGAAAAGATGACTATGAACTTTAGGCTTAAAAGTGACTCCGGAAGTGTTTGGCAATTTATTTTCATTGACTTGATCTCTTCCCAACAGGCAAAGATCATCGACTCAGAAGGCCGAGTGGTTCCTGTGGGCTCATCTGGTGAACTGTGTACGAGAGGATCAAGTACAATGTTGGGATACTGGGATGACCCGGAAAAAACGAAGCAAGCCATAACCCCTGATGAATGGTATCACACTGGGTAAGGTGGGAATTATAGCACATGGGGGAGATGGTGGTATGATATCACAGTGGCTAAGTTTGGATTTATAGCACATAGGGGTGATGATGGCATACAGAGGCTTTTATTCATCTTAAAAGTGATATAATTTTTATTTTTTAAATGATTACTTAAATTTTTAAAAATCTAAAATATAGATTTGAAACATGACGAGTTATATCAGACACATCCGAAGAATCTTCATGATTTGCAATGTAGAGCGTGGAAATCATAGTTACAGTTTCAAAGATAATATTTTTTTGGTTTTTTTAAGTGACCTGGCTGTCATGACAGAAGAAGGCTACTGCAGCATTGTTGGAAGAATAAAAGACATGCTCATTCGGGGCGGAGAAAACATCTACCCTCTGGAAATTGAACAAATTCTCTACCAGCACCCTAAGATAAAAGATGTGCAGGTTAGTCACAACACTGTCTCTTGAGATAAGCCATGTTAAGTATTGGTGAGTTTATGTCTTTTCAGCTGACATATATGTTTCAAGAATTTTTTATGCAAGTAATAAGTTAATCAACAGCACTTACAATTTGTCCTAAAAATGTTTTTTTATTTACCATGGAAAAAGAAGAGAAAGTTTATTATTTATTATTTTAAAAAATGTTTTTGTGCTTGTCTGAGTTGATTTTATATTTTTCAATATATTGGTTTTGCAACAATACCACCTCATTTCCTTTTTAGTGAACAGTGGTGCTATGTACTGAAATCAAGTTGTCAATATGTAGATTTTTTTTTCTACTCTAACTCAAATAAAATAAAATATATTTTTTCGAAAGGTTAAATACTGAAACTCTATTGTTTATGGTTAGAAATTAATCATAATTTGAATGGTTTCATAAAAACATTTAAACAAAACTAAAAAACATTGAGTCTCAGATGCAGTGTTTTTGAACAGGTGATTGGTGTCCCAGACAAAAGACTAGGTGAGCAGGTCTGTGCCTGGATTGTGGTCAAATCTGGGATGACGTTAACAGACAAAGATGTCAAAGAATTTTGTAAAGATAAGGTGAGGTGAAAACTTATTGTTTTTAAAGCCATACCTTATCCAATCTATCTACAAAAAGAATAAAATGGATATCCCAGCCCAAAGGCTCTTATGAACCCAATTAAATGGATATCCCAGCCCAATGGCTCTTATGAACCCACTGAAAATCTGAATTCGCAATCCACCCCTATTGGACCGCATTCCCAGAAGGACCCCAATCACTGGAAGAAACCTGGCTATCCCAGGTACACCAGAGATAGCTTCCTCAAAATGCGGTTGACGCCACTTAAAAATGGTCCCTAATTCAAGTTCCTACAGCCGTCCCTTTTTCATCAGCAAACGGCAAGTAGTAATTCTGTAGTTGGTGGTTGTTTGACACACCAATTCCTCATCAAAGAGATCAAAATGATAGCAAAGACTTAATTTTATGGTTTTAATTCTTGGAGCCGGGTCCGAATAGCCAATTCGTAATTTTATATTATTTTAAAGAATTAAATATTATTTAACAAATGAAATATAAATTCTACATCTCGGAAAGCTTTTTTTTAAAAAAAAAATTGATGAAAAATTCTTTCAGTTCTGAAATTAGTTTTAATATTACTATGTTATGAATTATTAACAGATGTATATAAATAATTTTCATTGTTCTTCGTTGCTTGGTGTTGTGTCTAGCTTCTGGCCACTGTGGATGTAAAATACTGAAAGACTGTAGGTATCAGGGGCTCATCAAAGTTAATGAACTGATGATATTTCTTATTTTTTGTGTACAGTGAAAATATAAGATTAAGAGATCAGATATACCTGATTAACTAACCCTAATGGGAATTTGACAATGGAAAGAATAAATATATGGTTCTTGAAATGTTACCTCTGTTATTTTAAAATTCTGTTTCAGATGGCCAAGTTTAAAATTCCTCACTACATTTTGTTTGTTGAGGATTTACCAAAGACAGTTACTGGAAAGATACAAAAATTTGTCATGAGAGAGGAGAGTATTAAACTGCTTGGGCTTGAATGTCAATAAATTCAGTTCTAAATATTTAACCAGATATAATATATTTGACACATACTTCACCGAGTTGCAATTTTTTACCATGCCAAATGAGCCGATATATTTATTGAAAAGGTGCCAAAGATATATTTTTTTTAAATGAGAACACTGCTGTCAACTGATCTGTGTAAAATGAATTCAAACCCTCCAATAATTGTGTTAGAATGGACCAAATCTCTCAAAATTTATTAATTCAAGGTCTACTATGCTAAAACATGGGCACGACTCTTGTCTCAAATAATTAAATTATAATTAAAGTATGTTCCTATTTAATGTTAAAACAAAATTTCATTGATTAATCCCTTTTGTATAATGAATATATTTTTATATAACGGTTTGTAGCATTGAAAATTGCAGCAGAAATTGAAAAAAATCACTTTATCTTCACAAAGATAACTTGAAACATATTTAGTTGATTTTTGCACACACCATATGATTAAATAACTAAATAACTATTTGAAATCAGGATAATTAATCTGAGTTATATATGGTATATCTAGAAATGTCTTTGATATATTTCGGTTCAAATGTATTTTTCTACATGTATTCCATTGAATAAAACAAAATTTATTATTTGGCCTATTCTGCAATAGCTCTAAACTTATTTTTTTTTTTTAAATAAATTTTGGAATTTTCTCACATTACAGATCTGAAATGTTTAAATTGTGCTTTTTTATTTTAAGTAAGATTTGAACCTTAGGTTGTTTTTTTTTTAATGCTAATATTTATTGTGATACTGAAATTTAGAGAATATCAATTTTTTGTATGCTTAAATATATATATAAAACTTTATAAAATTATACATTTGTTGCATGTTAAATTGCTCAACATTTACTTATTGCCTAAAAGTTAATTTTCTCTTTACATTTGCTGAATAATGTCATTACCGGTATTGTATTATCTTTATTATATTGTGCCTTATACTGGACTCCATGTTGATGTTATTCTGTAATAAAACCCTGTGCACATTCTTAAAAAAGAATATCTTTTCCCCAGGTTATTTATTACCTCTGAATATTAAAAAAAAATACGGCTGTGGGATTGGGCATAAATATTTTATAATGAAAATATTGTGTTGAACAGTAATCAATAAATAAAGTTTTTAAAAATGAAATAAGATGCAAGTACTTAGAGCCATGTGAATTAAAATTCTGCATTAGGAATTGTGGAGGACTATTTAAATTAATTCATTATCAATAAAAAAAATTATTAAAAACTTATATCAGGTGTCTAATGAAAAAATGTAATGTAATGAAATAATTGATCACAATGCTTACTGTTTTTAAATGCTTACAGCTGTTAAAGATGGTATAATTTGGCTGTTATTTGGTGTGTTTTTTCAATGTAATTTGAAAATAACCAATGATTATCACTGCCGTCTATGTTGCCATATTAACCCAGACCAAATATACATGTATTATTATTGTGATTTTTCTTTCTTATGTAAGACTTATGAAATAAATCATAATTGCTTAAAATCGTTTGTGGAATCTGGAGAAGAAAAGAAATTTATTTTTAATTTTTTGCACTCTTCTACAAACTCTACAGACTGATGGGAAGTCAATGACTGGCTAGAAGTCAAAGAATGACTGGATGTAAAAAAAAAAAAAAAAAAAAAAACTGGCTCAAAGTCACAAAATTAACTGGGAATTCTAAGAGTAGAGTGACTGGAAGTCAAAGACTAGCTAGAAGTCACAAAACTGACTGGAAGTCAAAGACTGGCTAGAAGTCACAAAACTGACTGGAAGTAACAGGCTAGCTAGAAATCACGAAATTAACTGGAAGTCAAATTCTGACTGAAATTTAAAAAAAACTGACAGGCGGTCAAATACTATGGAAGTCACGTGACTGACCGCACTTCACAAAATTGACTAAAAGCCACAAAACTAAGAGTGGAAGTAAAAATGTAATATGTGGAAGACTCGGAAATCAAAATCAAAGAGTTCCCACCATATTGTACTTTTTTCTTTCTTGAAGTAAAAGAACTTCGCGTGTCTAAAACAAATACACACCTTTGAAAAGAGAAATCCTGTGTACTTACTGACTGGAGTGACTTAATTTGAATTGGTTAAATTCTGCTTGTGGCCCGTGTCAGAGTCCCACAGCCCAGTGTTTCACCAACAGCCCAGCGTTTCATAAACAGCCCAGCCTTTCACCAACAGCACAGTCTTTCACCAACAGCCCAGCGTTTCATAAACAGCCCAGCGTTTCACCCACAGCCCAGTGTTTCACCCACAGCCCAACGCCCAATGTTTCACCCACAGCCCAGTGTTTCACCCACAGCCCAGTGTTTCACCCACAGCCCAGTGTTTAACCCACAGCCCAGTGTTTCACCCACGCCCTATCTTGAAGTGACTGTAGGTAAACAAAGGGGACTTAATGATCATTTATTAAACAGAGTTTATGTTCTTGGTGTGACGTAAGGATCGCATAAATATCGCGATAAAACTCTTGTACGGTGTAGTATGGCCTTTGTTCATGACAAATTTCAAATAAACTAGTAAACAACCTGGTATACACTGATAAGAGTTAATTTGAGAGCAGATTTAGATTTAATCCGAATTCCATTGACAATTTCTTGGACGGGACTAGATTTTTTTTTAAAATTCGTATGATCCCTATAAAAAATATACAAAATATAAATTAGTCCAAGTATAAATATAAATTTCCTGTTTCGTTAGGCGAGAATGACATTTTAAACATCCCCCCCTCCCGTCTGTCACGTGTGACACTAGACAGTTTAAAAGTTGTCTGGAAATTGATAAAATGAGTCACGACTTGATATCATCGCTACGACAATATTAGAAGCAGCATAAGGAAAATTGGGGGGGGGGGGG